CAAAGAGTAAAGGGGCCAACATAATATCATAAGAACATACATATATATAACTAAAAATTACTCGACAAACAGCAAACCTGTTTCCTACTGTTCTTCTCTTTCAGGTTCTTTCTTTTCCTTTACCTCCCTGGTTCCTTTTCATTATCCTGGTTCCTGTAGTTGTATCTGGATACATACTCACTTATCAGGATTGGTACTAGGATCTACATGTGAGAGAGAGCATAGGCCATTTTTTTCTTTTATCTGAGTCTGTATTACTTCCTTTGTATAACAGTTTCGAGTTCCATCCATTTACCTGCAAGTTTCATGATTTAATCTTTATTTCTGAGTAAAACTCCATGATATAAATGAATCACATTTTCATTGTGCATTCATCAGCTGAGAAACACTTAGGTTGTTCCCATCTCTTAGCTAATGTGAAAAATCAGCAACAAACATGGATGTACAAGTGTCTCTGCAATAAGACGAGTTCTTTGGGTATATGCCAAGGAGTGGTATAACTGGGTCAAATGGTAGGTTCATTTCTAGTTTTTTAAGAGTTCTCCATACTGCTTTCCATAGGGGATGAACCAGTTTGCAGCCCCAGTGACAATTGAATTTATTCTCATAATTGTTTTAATAGCTTTTGTATAATCTTCATTGCTATTATGAGATATAAAATGTATTTATCAAATCTGTAATCATTATGCAAAAAATCTGAATTACTGTAACATTTTGTATATTGTTAAAACTGTAACTTTAATTGCAAAAAAAAAATTTTAAATAAAAAAAAAGGAACTTATAATCAGCAAGAGCAGGGACTCACAAAAACAAATGGTCACAAACAGATCCCCAACCCATGTTATAAACACGATGATAGAAAGAGAAGTAGGTTTCTCTCTGAAGCACCGAGAAAGGAGCAAGGTCAGAAGCCAGGAAGAGACTCAACGGAGGCACTCGAGGAAATGTTTAAGGAAAAAGGAAGAAGGAGCTGGATCTTTAAAAATGAAGACAGGCTGGGGAAGACAGGAGAGGAAAGGAAAACATTCCAGACAAAGGGAATCATATGTACAAATGCCAAAGACATGAAAAAAAAAATCTCACAGGGAAGTAGAGTTCACTTAGATTGGCTGCAGCAAGCAGCATGCCAATAGACAGAGTTGAATAAGCATTCAGAGATCAGGTGATGAAATCCAAGCCTAAGTGGTTTAAACTGTATTCTTTCAAAGCCTGAGAGGGCATCAACTTTAATGCAACAAAGTATATGTCTAAATTTTAGAAAGGCTACTTTGATAACATAAGAATGAATTTGATAGTACTGGGGTTGGTGCTCTTAACTGCTAAGCCACCTCTCCAGCCCGTTTGTTTTTTGTTTCTGAGAGGGTCTCCCTAGCTGCAGCCCGCCCAGAACTCACTGTGTAGACCAGGATCGCCTTGATATCACAAAGATCTGCCTGCCTCTGCCTCCTGAGTGCTGTGATTAAAGGCATGAGCCACCATGCCCAGCTATATGCTACTTTTTTAATGTGGCAGAGAATGTGATCGTGCAGAAGACAGAGTAAATTCTGTGATTCTGTGAGAATGTGATCTTGCAGATAAGAGTAAATTCTCTTGGAAGTGAGAATTCAGGTAGGAATGCAGCCTTGGTCTGGGACAGTATACCAGCAGAGATAGAGGTAAGGAAGGATGGAGCTACAAGCACTGGTAAGCTTGGGAATTAGAAGAGGCCAATCTTCCCATTTACGGCCCTTATGTGATTATAACTTACAAGAGAAGAAGAAAGTTATAAGTAAAAACTTTAGTATTACTACTGTGGGGACAGGAAGGGTCATTAATTACAGCATACTGGAGTAAATAGAGCTTAAGATTAAAGTACAAGACTGTCTGCTATAGCACTGATCCAGAGAAAGGGGACAATTATTTCCAGGGTTTGCAGGAACCTAGGGTAAATACAAATGATCTATTTTACCATCCTTTGCATTTCAACAGGTAAAAAAAATGGTGATCCAAGCAGAGATGAAGCAAGTGATCAGCAGGTGAAAGGTGTCCACCCATCAATGCTCTCTGCCTCAGAGGGCTCTGATTTGAAGCTGGAAGAACCAGATGGGGGCTCCCACTCCAGCAGCACAGCCTTAGTTATGATTTTTAATCTAGAGCTCAGTGGCACAGTGGACACCAAGTTTAAAATCTCTTCTGAGTTTTTCTATGAAGTCTTTAAAAATCTAAAGTAGGAGAGGACATTGTGGACATGACTCAGCAGTTAAGAGATACTGCTCTTACAAAAGACCCTGGTTCAGTTCCCAGCACTCACCTGACAGCTATCTGTAACTCCAGTTCCAGGGGATCTGATGCCTCTTCTGGCCTCTGCAGACACTGCATACATATGGTACATTTACATACATGCAGGTAATACACTCATACACATAAAATATTAATTTTTAAAAAGGTAGAAAGGGATGACAAATATAATGCCCAGCCCAGGGTCTGAGATATTTGTTTTAGGTTTGGGCCAAAAAATGTCCATCCATGAAGAAAGCTACAGGGCAAACACAATCTAGGGGAGAAAGTTAGGTTATGATTTATTTAACTTTATTTAAAGAAAAATATAGACTGTTTTTTAAGAAGACAGGAGATTGATCCAAAGAGTATAATGGAAAGGGAGGTTCAAAGGGTGGGGAGAAAGAAGAGAAGCCAGAAAGTGTCTGGGAACAAGCTGTCTTATCCCAAGTTGACTGTTGCTTTTCCAATAAGTTGGATAAAATGGGAAATGATTTAAAAAAAAGATTCATACATACCATAAACACTTTATATAACTGAAAACATAAATGTACGCACATGTGCCAAGCTTTTGATGTCAGGCCAGGGCCTGCTCTGTGCATATGGATCCACTGATGGGAGTTATGCATTTTCTGTCTTACATAAACCACATCCTTCATGTATGATTTCCAGTTTTACTTTCTTTATAGGGAAGGAGAGCCTGAACACTCTTGTTAAACAGTCTGAATGCAGAACCTATCTAAACTTTTATAAGCACCTTCACCAACATACACGGATTATTTTACCATGATCTGCCCGCACCTCACCAATAGCTCAGTGTTCATAGCTGACATTCAGCAAGGCTTTCCAAACATTCAGCTCAGTTTTCACAGAAACAAAACTCAGACTTTTTTCACACTGAATCAGTTCATTTACTCTGAAATGTGAAATGGTGTTGGGTAAATAGGTTTGTGGACAAGTGAAACTTCAGCACTTCTGGAAAGAACACAGATTTGCAAAAACACGTGCATGCAGAACACCCAAAGAGAAGCATTTCAGCTGAACAGATCTGTGTGCTGCTGTTGGCAACCCAAAGAACTAGTACAGAATGCAGAACCCGCTAATCCTGCAGGTCAGTGATGAAGCCAAATCAGAGTGCTTTAAACACATAGGTGACAAGACACTGCATTTTGAAGAGTAAGCAAGAACAACAAGATGAGATTTTACCAACTACCTTCAAGTTTCCAAATGGAATTCTGGTATTTAAACTGCCATTTAAAAATGGTATTTTCTTACCAATTAGCTTCCTGTACCACCACCAACCCCAGTACTTTATCAATAGGGCTTTTCCTCTTTTGGAGAAGATAGAGCACAACTTAGAGAACAAGGTTTATAGAACAAATGCTACAGAAGACCCTTCAACCTCTAACTGCTTCTCTGGCTCCTTTTCTTCCAATATTCTTATCCAGGAGTCTCTAAGTTGTTTGACTCATTCACTATACACACCTTTTCTTCATCTGAGCTTCTCTTCAGGTGACTGAGATCAATATTCACATCTATTCCCATTCTCTTCCTACTGGTTTTTCAGAGAAGTTACTTCCAGTAACCATATATAACCATATATAAAGGAAAGAGTAAGAAAACCTACAAAGAGAACATATGCTTTCGAGAAACGTTCATGAGTCCAGGGTCAGTTGTCATGGGTTAGGCCTACCCTCTCCTAAACTAATTCACTCTTTTCCAGTACAAAGTATTCTCTTCAAGATTTATTTTTTTTTAACGTATGTGTCTCTGTATAGTCGGTGTTCAACCATACATGTACTGTACCCACAGAGGCCAAAAAGGGGGTGAGATCCCCAGGAACTGGAGTTATAAGTTGTTGTGAGCTAAAAAACATGGGTGCTAGGAACTAAACTCTGGTCCTCTACAAGAACAGTAAATACTCTTAACCACTGAGCCCTGCCCCTAAATACTATTATAGTGGTCCTACCAATTCAGCACACATTATCCACATTCTTCAGCGAGATGTCCCTCAAACTAGGAGTCTTTCCACAATCATTCTCCATCACAGATCCAATAAATATTCAGACGAGAATACAGGTTTCTGTGCAAATGGCCACTTACAGATTATCCATCATTTTTGAGCCCCTACTGGAATTATTTGGTGTGTTAAGTATCTTCAGACTTCAGGTATTGTTCTCTTTAGTCCTCATTGTGGAGATATTATTATCATCATAATACATGTCACACATAAATTAATAAGCAAGAAGGAGCAAGTATGATGTCCGAGGTCTTTACAGTGAGAAATCAGAAGCAAGGTTTGAACCTGGGCAACTGAGCTGGGTTCTTAATTACTGAATTACAGTTCTCATTTTCAGAATGTCCAAGCTAATGTAGCATTATCTATAATTTACAAAAATTTTCTTATTGATATACATAGTTTCAATGACACCCTTCCCTAAAAATTACCTTCACACCATAGGAAAAATAATTTAGGGCATTCATTTAACTGTTATAAAGTGATTTTTATCTGTTTCAGACAATAGAAAAGAGTGGATGACTAAAATTACTCTTTCTGAACTAAACAAATGTATTTGCAATGGCATAATAGAAAGCAGTGCATTGCTCACTACAAAAGCAATTTCCACTCAGAACTTGCCACAATGTTTCTCCTTGGACAAACATAAAATGTCTATAACAAAGTGGGACTTGAGGAAACAGAGTCAAAGAACCACTTTCTGGGAAGTTAAATAACACAAACTTACCTTTTTGGTACACTTCTTCACAGTGTTGATTAATTCTTGCATTACCAGGTCTACACTCTTCAAGGAAGGCCCTTTCAGTTTTACAATCTGTTTTTTGACTATTGCTTCAAATGCCATGTCTGGAGTAAACAACCCTGTCCTGGATGCAAAAAAGAAAGAAGTGCATTAGATTTAAGCACATGAGTACTAACCAACATCTTTGAATTGATAGGTTACTTAAATTAAGCATGCAATAGACCAGTTTTAAAAGGCATATGGGTGGCTGAGGTGATAGATCAGTCAATAAAGTGCTTGCCTTGCAAGCATGAAGACCTGAGTTCAATCCTCAGCATGCACATAAAGGAGATGGGCATGGTGGTACATGCTTATAATCCTGGAGTCGAGGAGGCAGAGATGAATGGGGATCACTGTCCAGTCTTGCTAGCCTGCTTGGCAAGTTTAAAGCCAGTAAGAGACCCTGTCTCAAAATCAAGGTGGATGGCTCTTGAAGAACTACAGCTGAAGTTGTCCTCTTGCCTCCACATGCATGCACACACACACATACATGAAGATCTGCACACATGCACCTACATACATACATATATACACATACACAAAAATATATACTTGTGGCTGGAGTGATGGCTCATAAGTTAAGGGCACTGGCTGCTCTTGCAGAGGAACCAGGTTCGTTTCTAGCTCCCACCTGGTGGCTAACACCCATCCTTCACTCCAGTTCCAAGGGATCTGACACCCTCTTCTGGCCTCTGTGGGCATTGCAGACATGTGGTGCACTTACATATATGCAGGCAAACCATTCATACATATAAAATTAAAATAAATAAAATCTTGCTGGGCATGATGATGATTCACGCCTTTAATCCCAGCATTCTTGGGAGGCAGAGGTAGGCAGATTGCTGTGCGATCAAGGCCTATCTGGTCTATATACAGAGTTCCAGAACAGCTAAGGCTACAAAGAGACTCGATTTCAAAAGAAATAAAAAAGCCAAAAATAAATTAAATTAATGTCTTCTATCCTCAATAGTGGTAACCCTTAAGTTTCCATCCCCAAGCAATGCCCAAGGGCTAGAGCAAGCTCAGAAGTAGAGTGCTTGCTTCATATGTGCAAGGCACTGAGTTTGTTGCTCAGTCTCTCTCTCTCTCTCTCTCTCTCTCTCTCTCTCTCTCTCTCTCTCTCTCTTCTCTCTCCGAGTCCTCCTCAGAACCAAAGAGTCAAATATGCTTTCAGGACTTGGAATGTGATTGTAGCTGTAATATGTCTAATCTCCACTATTTCACAGCAATAGAAAGGATGTAGTCAGTCCGGTATCAGTACACTCCCTGATTCAACCACCACCTGATATGTTTCAAGAAAAATGTGTGTATAATGAACACATACAGACATTTGTGCTTGACGTTATTTCTAAATAATGCTGCATAACAACTATTTTCATAGGATTCATATTTCATTAGCTAGTATGAGTAATCTAGAGATGATTCAAAGCAGAGGGAGACTATGTGTATGCAATATTCAAGTAGTGTGCTATTTCATACAAAAGACTGGGCCTCTGTGGATTGTGGTATCTTTGGGGGAGTGCGGGGGGCAGTAGTGGAACCAGTGCCCAGTAGAGTGCAAGGGATGCAAATTCTACAGCTGAAATATAATAAATTTCAATTTCTATTTCTAAAAGATTTCAAAAGCATCCCTATCTTAATAAGTTAGCCTCATCTTTTGCACAATGGAACAGTAGGATTTGGGGACTATGAGATCTATTCTCTCCAGGAAGGCTATACTATAAAGTGGACGGTTCTCAATCTGGAGTCCTAGGGACTAAAGGAAGCATGTGATCATAGGATGAGTCATGAGTTCATTTTAATATTGTGTAATGTCTAAATCATGAATTTATACAAATAACAACAAAAATAGCAAGTATTTTCTTTTGGGCTGGAATTAATTCAAATTTGGTGTCATAATACAAGATGGAGGAGGCTATGTGTGTTTCACAATCAGTTGAAAATAGTTGGTAAATGTTGCCACGAAGCATCAAGCATGAGGACCTGAATTCAATCCCCAGCAACCACCTAAAAAGCCAGGTGAGGTGGTGCCTGCCTGCAATCCTAGCATGGGGAGAGGGGGAAGCCGTTAGGGGTGGGGAGGACAGGTAGAGATAGGAGGCTCCCTGGCCAGCCAATCTAACTGAAGCAGCAAACTAAGGTTCAGTGAAAAACTGTTTAAAAAATAATGTGGCAAGGCTGGAGAGCTGGCTCAGTAGTTAAGAGCTCTGGCTGCTCTTGCAGAGGATCCAGGTTCAAGCACTCACATGGCGGCTAACAACTATCTGTAACTCCAGTTCCAGGAGGATCTGACACCCTCTTCTGACTTCCGCAGGCACTGCATTACATGGGTGCACTTACATACATGCAGGCAATACACTCATACACTAAGATAAAAAATAATACCTAAAAAATAAAGGGGAGAGCAGTTGAGGAAGACATCCAACATCAACTTCTGACCTTCACATGTACATGCACATGTACACACACAAAAACATGTATTTACATACACACACACACACACACACACACACACACACACACACACACGCAATCCTCACTGCCAATGATACTGTTGCTTCAGGCGTTCTTCAGTCCTACGTATTTCTCCATTTGCAAGAATACTTGGCATTTAAGGAACTTGAGAATAGCCCTATTGAATGAACTTTTTCTTTAAAAAACTGCTATTTTGTTACAAGCTCTTAGCTTCAGCACAGACTTTAGAAAACACCAAAAAGTCAACAGAGAAAAGGTAATCAATCCATGAACCAACTCAAGTGGGACTATCTCACATTCAGGACACATTTTAACATACTTAGTATATGCTCACTAAATTATGCTTGATGAAGTCTACGTGAGCTTAAGATATGTGTTTTAAAATAATTTGTATCATAGTTCTTGAAGGAAAGTGCTATGGACTGAATGCTTGTATTCTCCCTAAAACTTATATATTGAAACCCTGTCTACTTTTTGAAGTTGTTTTTAATTTTTAATTTATTTTATTTTATATGTACAAGTGTTTTGCTTGCATGTATGTAAGTGCACCTGTGTTGTGAAGTGCCCATGGAGGCCAGAAGGGACACTGAATCCCCTAGAACTAGAGTTACAGACTGTTGTTATCCATCCTGTTAAATGCTGGGAACTGAACCTGGATCGTCTGCAAGAGTAGCCAGGGCTCTTACCTGCTGAGCCATCTCTCCACCCCTGAACTTTAACATCATAGCATTAGGAGGTAGGGCTTTTAGAAGGAACTTAGAGCATAAGGGTGGGAGAGGCAATCAGAGATCTTGCTGGTTCTCCTTCTACCACATAACAGCACTGCAAGACTTGGGTATCCTGCAAACTGGAAGAAGGCCCTGGCCAGAACTAGGCCATGCAGGAAGAACACTAATCCTGGACTTTTAGCCTCCATAACTGTGAGAGGTAAATTTCTGTTGTTTATTAGCTACCCAATCTATGGTAATTTGTTATAAAAGCATTAAAAATACTAAGATAGGAAATGAGAGAATAATCTCCCTTTGGAACAAGAGGAAATTCAGGTTAGTTCACTCCAGCTGACCTTCTGAGCTCAGGCCACTCCACTCTCATCTCCACATTCCTCACAGCTCCATGAAGAACTGCTGCATCTTCCCACTTCTATGAAGACTCTCCCAACTCCTCCATCCTCAACAGCCTCCATTCCTTCCTTCCCCATCTCACAGTTCACTCGCCACTACCCCATCTGCATGCACATGTACATTTTGGCACATAGCACACAGTGGTTGTCAAAATCATCTCTCTAAACAGGAAAGGTGCTGTTGAAAAGTACTCACCCATATTAATCTTTCCCAATCTTCCTCCACAACTCCACTCAAAATTAACCTGCCATTTCTCCATGAAAATGATTATTTATGAGCACATTGTACCTTCCTCACTACAAGGCTATGCAGAAGAGTGTCTTGCTCACCTACTCAGAGATGAGTAGGGGCCTCAAATCCTGCCATGTAGAATACAGGGTACAGGTACAGAAAACATTTTTATTATTTTTAATTGGAGCAAAACTGAGGGGCAATATAAAAATAGCACTATGTTAAAACTAAGATTTCCTGTCTCTAATTTCTATCTCTCTACTTTCCTCTGCTCAGAAACACTACTATCATTTACAAATGTTCCTTTTCTTTTGGCAGCCTGAAGGCAGGGAAACATGGGTCACTTGCCTGATGCCATGTATGTTTTTGATTGCATAGCTTATTTCTCTTCGCAGCTCTTTCTCATTGAACTCCATCTGCAGATGCAAAATGAGCCACGATTATGACACTCAATGTTGTTGGATAATATTATTGGATATTTCAGAATGAGAATATCTTGACTTAGTTAATAATAAATGGATAGTCATGTTCTTTTCTAAGCTAAACCCAGATGGTCAAAACATCTGTTTTTATGAAGTTCAAGGTCACATTGAACACTAGAGAGTCCTGAAAGTTCCCATGCAGCAGGTTTTAACTCTATTATATATGAGGAGTGCTGTACATAAAGGATGCCTTCTGGAAATAAATCCAGCCATTCAGTTGAAACACATAATTCTTTATTCTTTTCCTGAATACAATAAAGCGGAGGCCATAGACCAGTATATAAATGAAGGTGTCACCTGATGGGCAGCGGCAACATAGCTGTCCTCAGATTCGCAATGGCTGTCTTTTCTCCCTGGCCATTTTAATGGTCTGAATTCAAGGCCTCTTTAGAAAAGGAAATTAACAATACCTCACCAAGCCAATATAGATGCATTGCCATATAAATATTTCCTAGAGTCCTAGGCATGATAACTCTACTTGGAAATACCATCGAAGTCTCACGGAGCTTAGACCTGGATTCAGCCCTGTCAGGAATGCAGCTGGTCCAGCCTCAACTCTCTGTCCATTTCCTCCCTCATAGAACAATGACTTCCCTTGGTCTCTATCCATATGCTGTGGCTTCACGGTTCAGAGCCTTTATCATTCCTTCCTTCATAAACACTTCCACCCCTATTCCACTGCCTATTGCTTAACTAGCTCTCCATCCTTACAAACTCAGCTCAGAAATCTGGCTCCCTTTCATACATGGGCTAGGATTCATGTCTGTGGGTTGTGTTTCCATAGCACCCTGTGCTGAAAGTTGCCACTTTACTTAGCACATTTTAATAAAATGATCTATTTACCCATCTTCTTCCCACACCAATACATAAACATCCACCTCTTTGTATGTGAGGCAGGCAGCATTCTCCCTCAAAGCATTCAGCTGTCTCATTAAGCATTTCATTCCTATCAAGTCCAAACTTGATAGGAAGTTTCATACCTCCATGCCAATGCAACTTTTCCTTACTTTCCCTCATCTCATGGGTACCATTATTCATTCAACTGCAAAAGCCAAAATTTGTAGAGTCTCCTTGAATATTCTGTTTTCTACCTCCTGTATCAATCCAAGGCCTATCAACCCTACCTCTAACAATCCCTAAATCATCCATTTCTCTCCACCCTCTCTTATTGCATCATTTTTACCTAGAAGCTAAAACACCTCCCTTGTACAAGATCCCTTCCAAGGCCATGTGCCTGTGTGTTTACAGTATTGCTTTCTTCTCCTTCAAGGCACCCCTGAGATTGTAGAAGCTTCAGACAGAAAAAAATGGCACATCCCCATCTAATCTAACTGCACTCTCATTCTTGTTCCTGACAACCCAGCAGGCATAGTGTTCTTTGAGAATAATCAACACAAACAAGTCACAAGCCCCTGACTGAAAACCCTTCTGTGACTTTCTGTTGCTAACTGCGAATACCTCACTCCAACCTAGAAAGTCCTGAGTGAGCTGAGGCCTTTCCTCTCTGATTTCATCCATCCTCTTCCTTATTAGCTGGGCCCTGGCCATGACTGCTCTTTGTCTATCAGCTCATGTTCATCCCTGCTTTAGTGCTTCACACAAGGGTGCTGCCACTTCCTTCAATGAGCCTCTTCCCGAAGATCTTTATACAACTCACCTCTGCATGCTGCTCTGCTCGTGGCTAAAATGTCCTTCACTCAGAGGGAACTTACCTAACATCCTGTTAAGAGGATCCTCACATCATGTTACCATAATAATGCTTCATATTTTCTTATGTTTCTTTCCCCCGTTATCTTTCCCCACTAGATAAATTAGGCCCTTTTCTATCTTGATCACTGGGAATTTGGTACTGGCTCAAGATATATTTTAAATCAAACAGACAATTGATAAAGATCACAGAAAACTCAATGATTACTTCCTGAAGTAACCTGAAATGCTGTTAAATATCACTGAATGAAATCAGGAATCTTTCTCTCTGAATTTCATTACCTGAGTACATGGTTTTTATTTAGTCTCATTCCACTCACACCAAGAGATCTGCAAAAGACAGTGTGAAGATGGCACGGAACAAAAGGAGAAAAATCAGTCCTTACAAACCTTCACTATCTCAAAGGGAAAGCGTTCGTGGAAAATGCGATTGATCTTAGCACCGCCTGAAAGCTCCAGTGTATCTACCTGATCACCTGACCCTTCAATTCTCTTCTCAAAGTCCACAGCAAACTGCTGAACCATCCTAGAGTGGAGAAAGAGAAACAATTGCAAGTTAAAATAGTGTGGCTCTGCTGTCCTTGTTTCATGTCGCTGTCCGGTTCTTTAGAACCCTTTTCTGGTATTCTTAGTGGCACCTACTGGTCAAGTTAGCACGGCACGCTTTCCAGCTCTCAACACCATTATGTCAACACAGTCTGTTAAGGTTTATTTTAGGCATGGAAGTAAACATTTTAAATATAGTTGTTTTTAAATGTATTATGTCCATTGTCTTCTAACGTGAAATAGTGTTAACTGGATCTTTGAATTAAATATTAAAGTTATATAATAAATCTTGAGTAGTCAAATGACGTTCAGCTTCTGTGACATCACACTGGCCCACTCCCCACTCCTCTAAAACCTCTCATACTGCCTGAGCTACATTCTCCCTCCAAGTACAGCAGCCTCAATCTTCCTTCTCATCCCATGAATTTGTCCTAGTAATCTAAGCATGACCAGCACTGCGAAGTGTCAAGAAGCTAGTTTCTCCAGACCTTCAGTTCCCCTACTTCATGGGAGTGACTGACCCATATGTGCAACTGTGTGTTGGACATTTTCTCTTCGCTGTCTTGACTAAATACACTTAAAATTGAACTACTGAACGTCTCTCACTCCTTAGCTTGCTGGTTCTCCTGCCTTGGCTAAGCCCTCAGCAATTCCTCCTTGGATTACTGAAGCAAACTCATTTTGATTCTAGGTTTAGCTCTGTCAAGGTCAGATCTTACACTGTCAGTCATACAAATCTATAATCATAGATCCCACTATAGCTAGCTCTGGCTTTGCTTTTCAGTAGGTTCCCAAAGTTTGATATAAACCACAAATCCCTTAACCCATCATGCATGATTCTTCATGGTCTGACCCTGGCTCTTATTTATTTATTTACTTATTTATTCACTTATTTATTTATTTATTTATTTATTGTGTATGAATGTTATGCCTGCATGTATGTAAGCTTACCCATGTCATGCGATGACCACAGAGAACAGAAGAGGATCTCAGATCCCCTGGAACTGGAGTTACAGACAGTTGTCAGCCTCCATGTGGGTTCTGGGATTTGAACCCAGGTCTTTTGCAAGAACAGTCAGTACTCTTAACCGCTAAGCCATCTCTCCAGTCCCTGACCCCCTGATTCTTCTTGAGCTCCACCTCTCACTCATCCACACTCACCTTCCAATCCAACCACAATGAATACTGGCAATTACCCAAATGTACTAAGCCCCTATGTTTTTGTATTTGTTTTACCTTTTTGCAGAGGTGTTCTCTCTGTTCCTTGCCTGACTACTTTCCTTCTGTCCTCAAGACTCACCTCAGGAGGCCCTCACAATCAGCAATCCCCCTCACCTACCAACATCACGTGTCACTGCCACAGTTAAGAGATCCTCTACTTCTTTAGTCTACTTCCAGCAAAGTAATGAACAAACAACACTGTCACAGCCTGTTTGCCTGTCAGTCACAAACCAATGGGCAAAGGCATCCATTCAATTTTTCTCCGCTTGATCAACATCAAATGTTGATGCTCAAGAAATATTTGCTCAATGAAGTAATGAATTATGCTAAGTGCTTAAAAATAAAAAAGAAAAAGAGGTATTTCTATTTGTGAGAACTAGGTCTAGAAATTCTAATGTTAACATATAAGACTACCTTCAATTCAAAATCTAATAGAAAAATATTTCAAATCATCTGAAACTTGTAGCTTTTTATTGTCTTTCATCAAATAATAGGCTAAGGTAATTATCAATTATGTATCTGTGTTTAGGCATATGCTAATGTTTTGCTTTTAAAAGCCCGGAAAAGTATGCTATATGCACTAGAATACAAAAATTTTTACAAAATTTATCTCCAGCAATCCTTTGCCCTAAACTCCACATGGCCCAACTGGGAATGAGCTGGCACAGTTCATACTACTTTCTTGCCCTCCTCCTTCAACCTAAAGACTTCTCTCATATGTTAAGGTCCTAATTACCACTTTCTCTGGGGACACATGCCTTTCCTCGCATCACTGTTTCCTCATCTGGGCTCATAACATCTTTTACTTGTCATAAAAAGTGTTCGTTAGATTCTAACACAATTAATCATCCATGTGTCTGTCTTCATGGCCCTCTTCTTAAGTACTAAATTCATAGTCATTGTTGACTCCACGGTAGATAACACAGGGCCAGAGTCTGTGTAGCATGTATGAAAAGATGGGAGGAAGGCAGGAGGAGCAAAAGAAGGAACAGGTCAGAAAGATAGGGGCATGAAAAGAAGATGATTCACTTGACTAGTCAACAATCAGATGGTGAAAATGTCTGTAATCAAGACCATGAAGTCACAGAGGCAAGGATCAATCTTTGCATCCTTCTTTCAGTTGAAAGTTAAGATAATGGCCCAGGACCTCAATAGAAATAGGTTTTCTTACTATGTAACTTGATGAATTTTATAAGAGCTTAACCAAAGTCAAGAAGAAACAAACTAGGGAAGAGTTCTATGTGAAGGGGAAAAAAAGTCTTTCTTTGGCATATATTATATTTGAGTGACATGATTGCATGTAACATGATGCAATTAAAAATGTCATTGAAATGATTTAAATATCCAGAAATTACACACACACACACACACACACACACACACACACACACATACACACAGACAAGGAGTTAAGTTTCCCTTCATGATCATTGCTGGGAGGCAGCCTCCAAAATGAAATTCAGCCACTTTGTGAATTCTGACCACAGCAAGGACCATAAAAGGCATTAATCCCAACTCATTAATAATATGGGACTTCAATATTCCACTGTCTCCATTAGATAGGTGAACACGGCAGAGAGTTAACAGAAAGACATCTGAATTAAACAACACCATATATCAAATGGACATAACAGACATCTACTGAGTATTCCACCCAAGTACCAAAGGACATATTTTCTACTCAGCACCCCATGGAACCTTCTCTAAAATCGACCATATACTGGGGCACAAAATGGGGCACAAAAAGAAGCCTCAACAAATACAAAAAGAGTGAAATAATTCCATGCATTCTATCAGGCCACAATGCAGTAAAGCTTAAAATAAACACAGGAAGAAATCCTACTAACTACATGAACACATGGAGATTAAGCAACATATTTCTGAATGATGAATGCGTCAAAAGAGAAATTAAGAAAAAAAAAGTATTCGTGGAACTAAACGAAAAGGCAATACAACACAATAAAACCTCTAGGACACATTGAAAGCAGTCCAGTATGGGAAGCTTATACCTCTAAGTGTCTTCACCAAAAAATTGGAAAGATCAGAAATACATGACTTAACATTGCAACTCAAGACACATGAAACGCAACAACAAATGAAACCCAAACCCAGCAGACAACAAGAAATAACAAAAATCAGGGCAGAAATTAATGAAATTGAAACAAAGAAAACAATACAAAGAATCAACAATTCCAAGAGCTGGTTCTTTGAAAAGATAAACAAGATTAACAGACCACTAACCCAGTGAAACAAAAG